CCCGTCCGCGCTAGGCGGCTGTGGATGTCGAGAACCTGCCGGCATGGGGGGCGGCTTCCCATCCAAGGGCATCGCTGCTGCTGCTGCTGCTAGCTCGGCGTTGCCATGCTGGGTGCCGTTACCACTACCGTCGACGTCTCCTGGTACAAACACGGGCAGCAGCGAGGGAATGGTGTGTCACGGAAGGGACGCACAGAAGCACGTATTCAAGCACATCCCGCGTGTATATACGGTTCGTGGACGTGGACATATGGGCGAAAGCACGTGCGGACGGGATGGTATATGTACAGCTCCATCGGTACTGCAGTACTACTGTACATCCATGTGATTCAATTCAAACCCAACGACGCTCTCATTACTGATGAGCATAACAAGTGCACGGCGCACGGGGGTCGGATGCCCTGTGAAACACAGACGAGCCAGGCGAAAAACTACGGGAGACGTTGGTGGTTCATCCACAAGTATTTCCTGGGCATGGCGTCGTGCGGCACAGGCAAAAAACGGCGCAAGCATACGCGACGCCCGTCCTGCTGCGTCCACAACGCGTGTAATGCCATCATGTGAGAACAACTTCGTGTGTGTCTTGACCGAGAAGAACGGACCATTTGTTGGGGGACCCACAGGCAGCCGACACAACATCGTGGAGGACAGGGGACCGAGATCGTATATTTTTGAAAAGCTCTTGCCGAGCCTTCTGTTCTCAGCACTCCGCGGCTCTACAGAACGAACGCGCACAGGCGCACCGACGTAAAAGCATGCAACTTCGTATGCCCGGAGAGCCAAGCCCCGAATGACATCTTACACAGCGATCTCTAGGAAACAGAACCAGCAGCAGCATGTCCGCCCCACTCACCCGGTTCATCATCCTTAGTTTCTTGCTGGGCAACAACGGCAAGACCAAGGTGTTGTTTTGACCCGCCAACAGAGGGGTCGGTAGACAACCCAGCAAAGCCAGCGGGTGAAACAGAGCCCGGCTCGCTCCTATCTGGTCGTGGCGAGGCGCCGGCTACTGTCCCTGCCGCTAGGCCATTGCTGCCGCTGTCTACTGGAACCGCCCCGTCCCTGGGGTCACCGTCCATGCCGTGCGGTCCCTTCTTTCGCCCCCCTCCGTTCGGCGTGGCAGCTCGCTTTTCGCAGTTTTCGCTTCGATGCTGTTCCCTCTTGCTTGCCACCGTGTCGACCGCCAGCCTCTTGCTATCTGGTCCGCCCACTGTCACCCCCACGTTGGGAAACGGGCGGGGGTTGACGAATCCCTTTCCTAATGCTTTTTGGTTGCCGAGCGCAGAAGCACTGGGCAAGAAAACAAACGCGTTGCCCGAATTTTTGGCACCCCCCCTGCCCTTTTAGATTCTGTAGGCCCCCTATCTTTAAGATGCCACGATGCCACGTCGTGCCCGTGCCCTGGTGGAACAACTTCGGTCCATGCCCTCCCGACAGGGAATGGTAGAACTCAGGATGCTTGTCCCTCTGGGGTTGACAGCGCTCGTCCTCTCGACGCTGAGCGAAGCATTCTTCTCCTCGGCAGGACGCCTGGGCGCGTCGTCTCAACGCCACCTGCTATTGCCGTCTTGCGCAGGGTGAGAGAGCGGACACGTCGATTGCCTCTCGGCGGCCGACCATCAATCAATAGCATACATGATCTCCAGCATGGTTCCAGTGGATAGTACAGGCCATCTATCTAGCAAGCGGCGTGGTGTGATTAAATTGTAGGATTGTATGCCTGTAGCATGGGGATGGGTTTGAGTTACAGAGCGTTGCTTGGTTACACCAAGGTGGGTGTGTTGACGAATATTCATGTTGTCGCGTCACATGCGTAAGCCCGTTATTTTGTGTTTTTCAAAACTGTCCACGTCGATCGATCAATCTGTTCTCATTTCTTTCCCTTCCACTTTGCCATATGCCCCCCTCCTCTTGCTCTCCGCACACCGCGCTTGTCTTTTCAACAGGCGGCATGGGGGAGTGGCCCTCGACAAAGTAGCCAAGATGGCAAACGTAACAGGTGTGACCTCGCTCTATCCCTCCCGAGATGTGTATTTACGTACATGTCGGAATCGGGGTTACTGCATCTGTAGAGAGAGAGAACAGGTACAGCAGTACTGCTGTGGTGCCCTACCCTCGCTCTAGCTTGTGATGGACTTCGACCCCCAAATACCAGCAGCAGTATGCCAAAAGGTGCAATACAGAGCACATCGTCTACATATTCGAGACATGGACACTCGGCAGACTGCAGACTGGCATCTGCAGCAGGCAGGACGAACTGCTTACAGCTGATGCTGTAACTTGATGTTTGTCTGGGGTTGTGTCCCAACGTCCACATCTCCAAAACTACATTACTGCTGTTCAGCAGTTCGTCCTGTCTGCTGCTGATGCCAGTTTGCAGTCTGCCGAGTGTCCTTGCCTCGAATATGTAGACT